TTGCTCTGCGGCATGTGGGATCTTCCCGGACCAGGGCTCGAACCCGTGTCCCCTGCGTTGGCAGGCGGATTTGTAACCACTGCACCACCAGGGAAGTCCTGACCATAGTTTTCTTAATTGTTATCTGGATGTGATAATATTTCTGACACGTGTGGGTATGAATCTAATATGCTGTGTAGACTGTTTAGCATTTGAAAATCTTCTATCAGGATAAGCTCTGGTTGAAATACCCGCAGTGGTCACAGGTGCTGCCCTTTGACCTGGAGCTGAGCACAGAGAGATGTACGTACCCATTCTCACCCAGAAAGCAGCTTCAGACCTGTGCAACTGGACGTGACACCATGAGATTCCCCTCCTCCCTTGGGCTCCAAACTTTCAAGGCAAGATGTGGCTTTGATCTTGGGCCCTCTGCAGAAAATCTCCGTTGGCAAGCCTAGCCATGACAGCTGGGCTCTGCAGTGGCAACTTTCTGTAGACAACACTGAAAAAAATCTAAACGGCAAGTACTCTGGAGAAGACTTGATGAGGGTAACCAGGTGTGTGCTGAGAACGCAGCTGGAGAGAGTTGAAACTGTGCCAGATAGCTTCACATTTTAAAAAGGAGAAAAAATGAAACCACCCTTCGGAGAATCTCTGGAAGTGGCTCCACTGAGGTAGTCTTGGTTAACCAGGGACACCAAGTTCCCTCCACTGATTGCCTCTGGTTAATTTTCTCTGTGACTTGACAGAAAGGAATGTGATAAGTTCTGTCTCAGAGCTCGCAATCATGCAAGACAGGGCTGTGCTTGTCCTTACTGACCCAGGAGACGAAGAAACCAATTAATACTTCTTCTCGCGTGTCATCCTCCAATGGTGGTATCAACATAATGATGATGTTCTGGTCCAGAGCGCCCGCGGAGTAGGTACTAGTGATTTCTCACAGTGTGGATTTGGGGGGACCACCTGGCCCAGCCCAAATGATCATTTAGCGGGTAGTTGGAAGGCTTAGGAAGAAGGACTCGCTTCTGCCTCACAAAATATCCTAAAGGAGGCAGGCTCTGAGGCTCCAAGGAATGCAGCACTTCTTGGATTCATTGGCATAAGGTGGCTGAAGCTTCTTGAAGCCTGCAGACCCTTTGCCCAAGAAATTCCCATGATCAAGACATTTGAATGAGTCTGCCTCTCCATGGCCTCCTGTTAAGGGGTGTATCCAGATTTTGTGGAGTATGAAGCTTGCATAATTTGAGGAGGCCCTCTTAAAGGCAAAGACTATAATTACAAATGCAAAATTGGGTATGAAGATGAATGTTTATTTGGAATAAAAAATACATCAAAGCAAATTAAAAATTTTTTAGATTGATGGATACTGCACATTAAAATATATAGAAAACAATCTCCTTGATACTAAACGCATCTGTATAAGAACTTTTTTCTATTTCTTTTCTGCAAATTCCCTTATAAGTTCATTATGTAATTAAATTTTGTAGTGTTTTCTATAGAGAGTAGATAATTCCATCTAATTGAAAATTGATTTTTATTTTTAATATTTAGGGATGTTTCTTTCAGTTTCACCATTCATTATTGGTAATTTCACCACTGAATTATTGGTAAAAGTTTTAGAATTACTAAATTTTGGGAAAACTCTTACACATTTCTCTCGTCTATGAGCTAAAAGATTTCAAGACATTTCAAGTTAGTTGTGTTTGAGTACGTGTGTGTATACATACTCAGCAACTTAATATTAAATATTCTCTGAATTGATAAGTTCATTAACTGTTTTATCGTCGTTTTTACGTTGGTCCCCACATGTGTGTGTCAGCATGGTGGGTGGTAGAAATATTACTGCAAGCCATTCCTACTGGTGCTGTTGTAGTAACAGACACAGAAATGACTACAAACCACAGAAACAGACCCACTGAATCCTAATTCAATGCCACTCCTTCACCATTTCCTCTTAGGTCCCCAGAGTTACTACTCCAGCTACTCCAGCTACTCCAGCATCATCCTCCTCAAGCAGAAGTGTGACAGAAGTCCTACCAGAGAAAGACAATGCTCTTAACTGATTGCGGTTCAAGTAACCTACGTTTGCAGGTTTTATGAAAATGTGTGACCATGCGACTATATTTCCAGGGCCTTTCCCGGGACCCTGGAAAGGGCCTATGTAAGCGTGCAGCCCTCACGCACAAGCTCTGTTAGCTCTGTGGCACGTTTATGTACGAAGATTTACTCACATTATACTGGGCCTACTTCCCTGGATGGTAGAATGCAAGGCTTCCCATCACTAGTCACCAAATGTTGAGGCATGACTGGGACTTCAAGCCAACTCCGTTGCCCAGTGTTTCCCTAACTTGAAGATCTTGCCAGTTTTGAGTTCCATTTCTTCATGTTCTCACCTTCATGAAGTAGATGAAGAAAAGGTGAAGCTTTAAGGAATTTGTCTCTAAGAGGGTAATAGGTTTGGCCTGGACTTTGCCGTCCATTGCAGAAAGGGCTTCCCCTGGGTTCTCTAGGGCCACTGTCCACATAAATACTTCTAATCACCTCACGTCAACACATCAGCACCGTTTTGGCAGGCTACTCTCTTGCAGTCTCACAAAAGGAATACTGCGCCAGCAAGCAAGAGTGATCAACTGTCTGGCTGCCCCCCTAGAACTAGCACCTGGCTTGAGGCTTCTGGACGACCTGATGGGCATGAGACCTAGTGCTCCTTGGAGCATCCAGTGGGTCCCCTGTGTGGGGCAGAGGATTGGAGAGAACCTTGAAGGGGAGAAACCAGGACTGGGGCTGAGGCCCATGCAGGTCCAAGTGAAGGCATGGGGTATCCTACCTGAATGATGCTGTTGGCCCCTAGGCAGTCCTGGTACTGAACTACGACTGAAAAATTTTTGAGGAAGACACTCCAAAGCACGGGGGCCCCTGAGGTGCCTCTGCCTGGGTCAAAGGGCAGCACTTGTAGAGTACTGGCAAGATTCCTTTTTTTTTTTTTTTTTCTTTTTTTAATGTATTGGTAATGACTGTGAAGGATCCAAAGATAGAACCTGCTGGAAAAGGCAAATTTTCCCTGAAATTGTTCACTGTCATTTTAATTGGTTTTATTTAAATGATTTTCTTAAAGAGTGTGGTGACTGAACTTTAAGAAGTAGTAAGTGTGTTTTATCTTGGGTGATGAAATAACATTAATGTTTTGACTCCTGACCACTTAAACCTGCTGTATTTCAAGCTTACCTCCTTGGTGGGACCTCCTTTCTCATCTTTTCCATGTGTTCCTTTTCCCATCATCCTCATTCCAGTGATCCTTTGTGGTCATTCCTGGATGTCATTGGTTGAAAATTTGAAAGTTTGATAACTTTGTTGTCCATTGTCCTGTCTTTGTTTAGGAAATGGGGCGTGATGTTGGCAGATGGAAACCCACACTGGATGAGGATGCTCGGACCCTCTTTAACTAGTTTTCCCCTTTGGCTTGTGAGCTTTGCCTTTTCACTGTCTTGGTCTTGCTCCCTCCCAGGGTCCGGTGCTTGTTCTTGTATATGATGTTGACATAGCTTGTGTATGAACAGTGCTTGAAGGAACTTAGTTTGGAAAATGTAAGGTTGAAGGAAGATATGTGAGCTTCAACCATCTGAAGGGCCATCACATGGAAGACAAGAATGACTTATTCTTTGTGACTCCCAAGTAGCTAAATGGAGACAGTGGGGTGGGAATTCGAGGAAGATTCAGTCCCTGGGGAAAGAAAAACTCTCTTCTTATGGTTGTTAGAGGTAGAATGAGCTTTCTTGTGGTGACCCTTTGGCAGATATGTGAGGGACTGGATTCAGACATTGGTTGGATTTGGAGTTCAGCTGACAAGCTGAAGTATGAGAAAATTGGGATGACATCCCACGGTTAGAGAGCATCGTCACAGAATAAGGGCAGCCCTTTTATTTCATTTTTATTTTCTCCTGGAAATGGTATCCTGAGTCTTTGACTCTTGTGTGCTGCATCCACCATCATGTGTTTAGCCCCTGTATGCTCTGCTGGCATGCATTCTCTGGCAAGGACCCCATTCTCTCTGCTGATACTGGCTACCTCTTCTCATTGATAGGCCCCTGGTAGTCATGCCTCTGTTCACAACCTGCTGAATCAGCTTGCCTAGGGCTCAGCTCTCTGTATGTGGCTTGGGAGCTGATTTGCGGACTAGTCCTTCCCAATGCCTGTGAGTCCCTGAATCTGTGACTCTTGCCTTATTTGGTTTGGGGTCTCAGTGTTTATCTTGACTGAACAGTGGGTCCCACTGAGGGGATGGATCATGGAACACTCTCACCACTATGCCCCACCTTTTCTTTTTCATTCTGTCCTTCATAGAATATTGATTTCACAACAGATTCTCAGGAAATGCTTTCTGACCTCCCTGGCTTCACTAAAACTGTCCTGTTTGTCTTCTCCTCCTAGCTTTGTTCTCCTTTTCACCCAATCCAATGTCTCATTGCCACCAGTGAGGCCACTGAGCAATGCTTAGCTCCACAAGAGGCTGTCAGATCGTAAAGGATGCTGCTAATCCCTGTTTGCGTCCGTGCCATTCCCACGTTTTAATGATGAATTTCTCCCTAAAGGAGAACAATATATTTCTGATGAGGCCTTTGGAAGTAATTCCTTGCTTTCATTACTAGAAAAAATAAAGTTTTATGGAGCTGCATATTGTAAAATATTTTACTACGTGGAATCTACCCTTCATCATTTAAAACAAAAATAGAACTATATAGGAAAGAAAAGTACAGTGAAACAGTTAAGCTCATTCATTCTTTCTTAAGTGATCTGGACTTAACCTCACCTGCCCAGAGAAAAGCTGGGCTGTGTCCCAAACAGTAGGAGGGAAAAACTAGCCATGCCAGACACCCGCAGCAAGTTGATTTCAACCCTCACCCACGTCTTGTCCTTGGAGCAGACAGGACTCAATCAGCTGCTAGGCTGTGCCTGTCAGGTATGGTCTGTGCTCCTTGCTAAGCCTTTTGTCTTTCTGGACCAAGATCCTTAACCTTTGTCACATCACTGACTTGGAGTGCCTGCTTGATCACCTGGCAGAAGTGACACCAGCTCTGGAGTACCTCAGCCTGCTGGGAAATGTGGCATGTCCCAACGAGCTAGTCAGCCTGGAAAAGGATGAGGAAGACTACAAGAGATACAGGTGGGTGTCTAGGGGTTTGAGCATCGTGTGAGAAGGGAAAAATGACATCTTTGGGGAGATAATATATTCTGGGGTGCATAGTAGATGTCTGGTAAGTATCAGTGGCCCCTTCATGCTGTATTAAACTTTCCCCCTTGGGTACCCTATAGCCAGGGTCTCCCTTCATTGAGGGTAAACAAGAGTCAAGAAACATGAAAAGATGTTGAGTGGTATAGGACAGGCATTGACAAACTTTTTTGTAAAGGGCTGGATATTAAATATTGTATGCTTTGAAGGTCGTATGTTCTCTGTCGCAACTGTTCAGCTCTTCCATTATAGTGCGTAAGTAGCAGTGAACAGTTGGTAAATGAATGGGCAATGCCATGTTCCAATAAAACTTTATTTACAAAAACATGCAGCAGGCCAGGTTAGACCCATGGGCTATTTTTTGCTGGCCCCTGCTCCTTGTCGTAAGATCTTCCTGTCTGCTTCTGAGTCACTATTTAGAGAGAGGGTACTTCCCACAAAGGTTTAGAGAGCTTATGTACAATCCCAAGAGGAAATCCTATGAGGCATATGGCTTTGTTCCATAAAGCTATGCCTCCGTGTCCACCAACAATGGGATTTGATGGGCTCCAGGTAGAAATGCTTTTTTTTCTTCTCTCAACTTCTGAACCATCTGCTTTGAAATACCTGATCCAAACTCACTTCTCTTTAGGGAGTCTTTTTGATCTAACCCATTTTACTAAACTCATTTTTCCTCTACACTTGGAATTTTGTATGCTCTTGTTCTTGACTATTGTTTTGTAAATGTTTTGAATGATCTTTTCATATGTGTAGTGTAGCTTTTCTCTCCATTATGATGTGAGCTCTCATTAACACCCCACCTGAATCAATGTGGGAGGGAGGGAGGGAGGAAGGAAGGAAATGTAAGGCAGGTAAGACTACTGGAAAATAAGTTTGGGAGGATTGGGGAGAAAGGATAATGGTTCAAGAGGAACTGGTTCTATTGGGGTTCAGATTTTTAAATCTGTGGTGACCCACGAAGGAATGTAGTTGAGGGCATACATTTTATATAAAGGCAAAGCTGTAAGAAATAGTGAAGGTTATTGAACACTGTATGTTAAAAAAAACATACATATACATATACATGTTAGCAAGAGTACAGCAGAAATTCAGCTGTACTTCTTTGCTGGGAAGAATTTTGTAGGAATCTTAGACTATTTTTAAGCCGTCTTAGAATAAAGCTCTATCCCTACTTCAAAAGAAATGCACTAAATCTTTTTTCCTCATGAAGATTTTTATTTGGGATGTGATACTGTCGATTTGAATATGATTTCTATTAGGAGAAATATGGTTAATATCCAGCGAGTGAATAGTTAAAATTTCTAAATCAACCTGTTAAGTTAATCACTTAGAACTTAATTTTCTTCTTTAACGTTACTCTTATCAACTTTGAGTAGTTTAACAGCCTGATTTCAGCTACGAAGGGGTCATTTAAAACATTTTATCTTCTGGCAGCAACTTATTATAAGATATATCTTGGAAGGGTCAGGAGGTACAAGAAAGTTCTCTCAGTTAACATTTTTAGTAAACCAGTAATCGTTTGGGAAATTCTCGTTTGTTTTTCGACTTTTTTCTTTAGATTTCTGGTTTTAATGCTTTAAAATTGCCCAATAAATTTTATATATGTACATATACATGCATGTGTGTATGCACACATTCACACACATTCATTCTTTCGTTCACTTATTCATGGAGTTATATGTGAAATGAACTGTAGGTGCATTTTTTTTTTTAGAATGAGAGTAATAGAGTGAGGAAAATCTCCCACTCCACCTTACTCTATTCAGTCTCAAAGAAAAGGTTGTAAAGGAAAAAGAAAAGCTAATACTATTTTTGTTGTTATTGTAACTAGTCGCATTGGAAAAAATACTTAGATCCATGGTGTAAGGGGTCAGATCAAAAGATGTGATGTGGAGTCCAGCTTTGCCAGTGGGACCTTTAAAATGGGGAGGACAGTTTAGATCAGTGACCCTTAACCAAGGCTATACTTGTGAATCATCCAAGGCGTTTTGATTCATTTAGTGCCAGATGCAACAAAATAGTCAACAGGTGACTTTGATGCTCAGTCAAGAACTACTGGACTAAGGGATACTTAAAGTCCCTGTCGGCTCTGGTGTTCTGAGATACTGTCCTCCCAAGCAGTTATAGTTCCCCCTTGACCATCTCATACCATTTTATATATTCCATCATGTATATTTCTCTGACTACTTCATATATGTCGACATCCAGAGAATGGCTTCCAGAAAGTCAGGACTGCGTCTTCTTGCCCTTTGAAACCTTATCAATACTGAAAGCAGCGCTGGCTGTGTAATGGGGACTTGGTAACTGTTAACAGGAGGTGGCTTGAAATTACTGTTCCATCTGAGAAGCTGAGTACTTGTACAGAAATGCAGGGCCCTTTGGGCACCTTGGCTGCCCACTGCCTATTTAGAATTAGATCCACTTGGATGTCAACAAATGCAGTTAACAAGCAAGGAACTATCCTGCAGAATCTACCCAAGTGTTGGTCGTTGGGTCATGATTCTTTAGGGAGGGCTTGATTGTAGAACAATGATCGTTCTCCTGGGCTGGCCTGGGTACCCTCCAAGCACACCTTCCCCACTCCAGGTCTGTTAACCCCTGGAAGCTGTGGAGGGCTGGGGCTGGGGAGGCTGTGTGTTAGTGCACATATGTCAAGGTTGCCATCAGGAGCTGGATTCTAGAGGCCACACACAGCCGAAATCACATCTGGTCAGAACTACCTTAGAATATCTGTAAGTCACCCACAACACCGGCAAAATGCTCACCCTCTGAGAGAAACAGGAACTAAGAACAGTGGAGGGAACGTTCAATGTGGGCCCATCCAGTTATACATCGACTGCACGGCCTCTGATGCTTGAGTGGAGTGGCAGGCCTGTTCTCTAGCAATTCTAGATTTTTTATTTATTTTACTTATTTTTTATTTCTGCTTTAACAAGCACTGTCACCCTTGCATTTGGGTGAGATGAATGGGTGGATGAGGGAGTTCTGTTCAATGGTCTGTCAGCAGCCCTGCTTTGTTCATCCTGGAGTCTGTGCTTCATTTGCCCCTGAGAAATTTTAGAGTTTCACAGTAAGACTTCTGAATCCTGAGTTCCTGTGGCATTTGGGTTTCTACAAAACAGTGTAGCCACCATTTGTTTCCTTTTGGTAAAATATTTTCCTGGCCCTTCATCCCCAAAGCGTGAGGTCAGCCTTCCTTCTAGCTGTTACCCAGAGCCTAATAGTAGGGCCTCTATGTAAATTTATGGGACATTTTCACTTGAAAATTGCTTAAAAAATGAATGATATTTCTACAGTTTACTGTTTTTCACTTTCAGTACATTTTTTGACAGTATGTCTTCTATTAATCATTTCAGCAGCAGTAGGAGCCTTAAAAGGAGTGTATTCAGAAGCAAGAGCCCATGGCTCACTTAGTGCTGTCTAAGAAACTTCACGTTGACTGGCATCCTCTGTGGTTATGTGATGTAACATTTATAATATGTCACCCAGCCATACATCAAAACAAGTACGTCTCTTGTTTCATTTCCGTGAGATACGTTGATTTCAGAGAGGTCAGTCCAGTTTCAGGTCACATGGTGGACAACCACTGGACCAGAAATGGGAAGTGACCAGATTTATGGAGCTATTGGAAATGGACCCACAGTTGCTTCAGTTTCTACTGATGCTTTCCTCCCTCCCCCCCCCACATCACCCCTTTTCCTTCCTCACTTACCCCTGTGCACCCAGTTGGATTTTCTTGGCACACGTCCCAACAGCAAAATGGGCCCCTTAAATGCGTGAGTGAGCATGAACATGCTCCCAAGTTGTTGAGCGGTGCCCTGGTCCTGCTGGGGCAGGAACTAAACCGGGCCTGGGGTTTCTCTGTGCCGTTCATCACAGCTCATAGCTGTTAACATGGTGAGCTGTTATAGCTCACCATGTTATTACAGGCGCTGAAACCTGCCCTTGCTTTGCCATGTATACACAGTGGGCTGCTATTTTGGAATGAATGTTGAATGGAGGTGCATGTTGAATGGTGGTGCTGGACCTGAAGATCCAGCAGCCTTCAGGACTGGGGCAGGAAAGGATGGGGAAGCCGAGATGAGCCAGGGGGCCACCACGGTACTAAGGTTCCCCTTGGGGCCTCCGGTGGACTTGAATACTGGCCAGACAATAAATGGGGAACTTGGATGCCCAGGACGGTCTATTTCTTGTCTTCCTTTGTCATTCTTTTCTTTCCTCTTACTGCAGGAAAGACAGTAGAGTGGAAGTCAATGGTGCACAAGTGCTAGACCTCAGGCATCAAGTAAGGGAGTTGGTCTCATGGTCTCTTAGTGCCCCTTCCTCCACTAAATCCTTCTGTCACTAAATCCTTCACTCTCTCCTGCCACTCCAATCTCTGGTTGGCTTCTCCTTCCTCCCTCCTCCTCAGTAGGCCCCTCTGTATTCCTTACAACTTGAAATTATTTAAAACGTGACACCCTTTCTTTGTTGCCTCCCAGGGAGCAGCCCTGGGGCCTGCCCAGTGTCTGTCTCACTCAGCCAAGGGGAAGGAGGGAGGGACCTGCCATCGTCTGCTGGCCGTCTTGGGCTACCAGCATTTCCCAGCCATAGAGGAGCTGTAAAACTTGTGGCTTACATAACCCAGTGAGCATTTTCCAGCTAATCTGCAATCTGGGCTTTGAAGATCACAAGAAAGCAAAGGTCACGACCCAGAGATCAAAGTGACAGAAGCCCACAGCGTAATTGCTGGTGACCCTCTGTCTAGGGCCTTGGTCTGTCCTGTGGGTGTATTGTTTGCACTGAGACTTCAAACGTGCTGCCGGTGAACGGTGAGGGAAGTCAGCTGGCCTTGGCCGGTCGTCAGGCATTCATTAATGCTGTAGGTGAGCTCACCTCAGCTCATTAGACAGCATTGTCATCTCTCCACTCACAGTGTTTGTTCATCCCTCTGT